AGAGGGTCCGAATAAGTGTCCGAATGTTTAAATCCAAATACATGAGAAATGGAAAATAAACACCATGATTACATATCTGCCATCATGCAAGAGGGTCCGAATAAGTGTCTGAGTGTTTAAACCCTAATGCGTGAGAAATGGCAGGTAAACACCATAATTACATATCTGCCATCATGCAAGCGGGTTTGAATTAGTGTCTGAGTGTTTAAACCCTAATGCATGAGAAATCACAAGTAAACACCATAATTACATATCTGCCATCATGCAAGAGGGTCTGAATAAGTGTTCGTGTGTTTAAACCCGAATGCATGAGAAATGGCAAGTAAACACCATAATTACATATCGGCCATCACGGAAGAGGGTCTGAATAAGTGTTTGAGTGTTCGCACCCTAATGCCTCAAAAACGGAAAGCAAACACCATAATTACATATCTGCCACCGTGCAAGAGGGACCGAATATGTGGCCAAGTGTTTAAACCGTAATGCATGAGAAATTGCAAGTAAACACCATAATTACATATCTGTCATCATGCATGGTGGTCTGAATAAGTTTTCGAGTGTTTAAATCCTAATACATGAGAAATGGCAAGTGAACACCATAATTACATTTCTGTCATCATGCATTGGGGTCCGAATATGCGTCTGAATGTTTAAACCCTAATGCATGAGAAATCGCAAGTACACACCACAATTACATATCTGCCATCAGGCAAGAGGGTTCGAATAAGTTTTCATCTGTATAAATCCTAATGCATGCGAAATGGCAACAGGACACCATAATTACATTTCTGCCATCGTGCATGAGGGTCCGAATACGTGTCCGAGTGTTCAAATCCTAATGCACGGGAAATGGAAGGTGAACACCAGAATTACATGTATGGAATCATGCAAATGGGTCCGAATGGGTGACCAATTGTTCGAACCCTAATGCATGAGAAATGCCAAGTAAACACCATAATTTCAAATATGCCATCATGCAAGAGGGTCCGAATAAGTGTCTGAATGTTTAAACCCGAATGCATGAGAAATGGCAAATAAACACCATGATTACATATCTACCATAATGCAAGAGGGTCCGAATAAGCGTCTGAATGTTTAAACCCGAATGCATGAGAAATGCCAAATAAACACCAGGATTACATATCTGCCATCATGCAAGAGGGTCCGAATAAGTGTCTGAGTGCTTAAACCCTAATGGATGAAAAATATCAGGTAAACACCATAACTACATATCTGCCACCATGCAACAGGGTTTGAATTAGTTTTTGAGTGTTTAAACCCTAATGCATGAGAAATCGCAAGTAAACACCATAATTAAATATCTGCCATCACGCAAGAGGGTCTGAATAAGTGTCCGTGTGTTTAAACCCGAATGCACGAGAAATGGCAAGTAAACACCATAATTACATATCGGCCATCGCGGAAGAGGGTCTGAATAAGTGTTTGAGTGTTCGCACCCTAATGCCTGAAAAACGGAAAGCAAACACCATAATTACATATCTGCCATCATGCAAGAGGGTCCGAATATGTGTCCAAGTGTTTAAACCCTAATGCATGAGAAATCGCAAGTAAACACCATAATTAAATATCTGCCATCACGCAAGAGGGTCTGAATAAGTGTCCGTGTGTTTAAACCCTAATGCATGAGAAATGGCAAGTAAACACTATAATTACAAATCAGCCATCATGCAAGAGGGTCCGAATAAGTAGATTTGTCAAAAAGGTAGCTCTACTATCTAAGGTTCTCAGACTTCGAAGAGAGGCTATATTGACTCTTCTGATTTCTTGGGATCTTCATTGGTTATGATCCGTAAAAAAGGGAAAGTAAACACCATAATTACATATCTGCCATCATGCAAGAGGGTCCGAATACGTGTCCAAGTATTTAGACCCTAATGCATGAGAAATTGCATGTAAACACCATAATTACGTATCTGCCATCATGCAAGAGGGTCTGAATAAGTTTTCCAGTGGTTAAACCCAAATGCATGACAAATGGCTAGTGAACACCATAAGTACATTTCTGCCATCTGGCATAAGGGTCTGAATACGTGTCCGAGTGTTCGAATCCTAATGCACGGGAAATGACAAGTAAACACCACAATTACGTATATGCAGTCATGGAAAAGGGTCCGAATGGGTGCCCGAGTGTTCGAACCCTAATGCATGAGAAATGGCAAGTAAACACCATAATTACATATCTGCCATCATGCAAGAGGGTCCAAATAAGTGTCCGAATGTTTAAATGCTAATGCATGAGAAATGGAAAATAAACACCATGACTACATATCTGCCATCATGCAAGAGGGTCCGAATAAGTGTCTGAGTGTTTAAACCCTAATGCGTGAGAAATGGCAGGTAAACACCATAATTACATATCTGCCATCATGCAAGAGGGTCCGAATACGTGTCCAAGTATTTAGACCCTAATGCATGAGAAATTGCATGTAAACACCATAATTACGTATCTGCCATCATGCAAGAGGGTCCGAATAAGTTTTCCAGTGTTTAAACCCAAATGCATGAGAAATGGCTAGTGAACACCATAAGTACATTTCTGCCATCTTGCATAAGGGTCTGAATACGTGTCCGAGTGTTCGAATCCTAACGCACGGGAAATGACAAGTAAACACCACAATTACGTAAATGCAATCATGGAAAAGGGTCCGAATGGGTGCCCGAGTGTTCGAACCCCAATGCATGAGAAATGGCAAGTAAACACCATAATTACATATCGGCCATCACGGAAGAGGGTCTGAATAAGTGTTTGAGTGTTCGCACCCTAATGCCTGAAAAACGGAAAGCAAACACCATAATTACATATCTGCCATCGTGCAAGAGGGATCGAATATGTGTCCAAGTGTTTAAACCGTAATGCATGAGAAATTGCAAGTAAACACCATAATTACATATCTGCCATCATGCATGGTGGTCTGAATAAGTTTTCGATTGTTTAAATCCTAATACATGAGAAATGGCAAGTGAACACCATAATTACATTTCTGCCATCATGCATTGGGGTCCGAATATGCGTCTGAATGTTTAAACCCTAATGCATGAGAAATCGCAAGTACACACCACAATTACATATCTGCCATCAGGCAAGAGGGTTCGAATAAGTTTTCATCTGTATAAATCCTAATGCATGCGAAATGGCAACAGGACACCATAATTACATTTCTGCCATCGTGCATGAGGGTCCGAATACGTGTCCGAGTGTTCAAATCCTAATGCACGGGAAATGGAAGGTGAACACCAGAATTACATGTATGGAATCATGCAAATGGGTCCGAATGGGTGACCAATTGTTCGAACCCTAATGCATGAGAAATGCCAAGTAAACACCATAATTACAAATATGCCATCATGCAAGAGGGTCCGAATAAGTGTCTGAATGTTTAAACCCGAATGCATGAGAAATGGCAAATAAACACCATGGTTACATATCTACCATAATGCAAGAGGGTCCGAATAAGTGTCTGAATGTTTAAACCCGAATGCATGAGAAATGCCAAATAAACACCAGGATTACATATCTGCCATCATGCAAGAGGGTCCGAATAAGTGTCTGAGTGCTTAAACCCTAATGGATGAAAAATGGCAGGTAAACACCATAACTACATATCTGCCACCATGCAACAGGGTTTGAATTATTTTTTGAGTGTTTAAACCCTAATGCATGAGAAATCGCAAGTAAACACCATAATTACATGTCTACCATCATGCAAGAGGGTTTGAATAAGTGTTCGTGTGCTTAAACCCTAATGCATGAGAAATGGCAAGTAAACACTATAATTACAAATCAGCCATCATGCAAGAGGGTCCGAATAAGTGTCAGAGTGTTGAAACCCTAATGAATGACAAATGGCAAGTAAGCACCGTAATTACGTAACTGCCATCATGCAAGAGCGTCCGAATAAGTGTCCGAGTGCTTAACCGCTAATGCTTGAGAAATGGCAGGTAAACAACATAATTATATATCTGCTATCATGCAAGGGGGTCCGATTAAGTATCTGTGTGTTTAACCCGTAATGCATGAGAAATGGCAGGTAAACAACCTAATTATTTATCAGCTATCATGCAAGAGGGTCTGAATAAGTGTTCGAGTGTTTAAACCCTAATGCATGAGAAATGGCAAGTAAACACCATAATTACATATCTGCCATCATGGAAGAGGGTCTGAATAAGTGTCTGAGTGTTCGAACCCTAATGCGTAGAAAAGGGAAAGGAAACACCATAATTACATATCTACCATCATGCAAGAGGGTCCGAATACGTGTCCAAGTGTTTAAACCCTAATGCATGAGAAATTGCAAGAAAACACCATAATTACATATCTGCCATCATGCAAGAGGGTCCCAATAAGTTTTCCACTGTTTAAACTCTAATGCATGAGAAATGACATGTGAACACCATAAGTATATTTCTGTCATCATGCATGAGGGTCCGAATATGTGTCCGAGTGTTTGAATCCTAATCCACCAGAAATGGCAAGTAAACACCACAATTATAGATCAGGGAAACTATGGGTTAGTGAGAGAAGCTCTGACATCTCTCTAGAAAACTTTGTTTTCTAGGGTTCAATATCTCATTGATTGCCGATGTCTTGAGTTTATGCTACCATTAATGAGCGTATTGAGGGGGTAAATCCTAAGGTCGAGAAAGTAAAGTCATCAGGCGGGGACTTAGGGTTCACCAAAAATTGCTTTGCGATTTTGAGTGAAAGATCGATGGCTTCTGAAGCAGATGTTACAAACCCTAGTGGCGAGGGTCTCTCAATGGCTAATCCCTCCATTATGGAGGTTAACCGAGGTGTGGATATTCAGATCGTGGATCCTTCTGGTGTGGAGATTCAATCGCAGGTTGCCGTTAATGAGGCAGATTGTTTGGGACTCGAGGTTGTTTCGGTAGCAGAGGGTGATGGTTCAGATCCACCAAGAGATTGAAGCAATGTTTTGGGCAAGAGACCTGAGTCAAACTCGGAGAAACTGAAAGGTCCGATGTTTCCAGCTACGATTGACGAGCCATCGACGCCGACTGAGAATGCTATCAGTACGAGTTGGTCTGATATGGTGGAGGAAGAGTACAATAGCTTCCTAAATCTACCAGATAGTGTAGTTTTAGCGCGTAATAGAGGGGAACACAAGAATATCGTCGAACCTTCAGTTCCAGTAAGGGCTTTTGATTCTGATATACAGATACCGATTAGGGATTCTCCATCCTTCCAACGAGGAGGCGTCAGGGGGGGTGGAAGTTATCGTGGGGGAAGAGGAGGTCGAGGGGATGCAGGTGGTAGGAGATCTAACGAGCCTGAGGGCCAAGAACATCGCTCATGGGCAAACATCACTGCTGCATCAACCCGTTCAAACATCAAACTCAGGTATATCCCTCCTACTTCTTTTGAGGATAGTGTTGTTGTAAATATGCCCCCAAGGACTGACCCGCTAGAGAAATGGGACTCCTGCCTTGTGGGTTACTTTGTTGATAAGGGAGTGGGCTACAATTATTTGCGTAACAGTGCTTTTGGGATGTGGAAAACTCAGGGCCTCAAGGAGGTTCTTACTAATGGGGATGGGTTCATGTTCTTTATTTTTGATACCCCTGATAGTTGCAGAGAAGTCCTTGAAGGAGGCCCATGGTATATAGGTGGCTATCTCCTTATTCTGAAACAATGGAAAAGGATGATGAAGCTATCAAAAGATAAGTCCACAAAAATTCCAGTATGGGTGAAGTTCTTTAACATCCCCTTGGAATATTGGGATCCTGATGGATTAAGTAGGATTGCAAGTGCAATTGGACATCCCCTCTTTATGGACCAGCTTACGGCTCGGGGTAGTAGGGTGGCTTTTGCTAGAATCTGTGTGGAAATTGAGGCCACCTCAAAACTGCCCACCTATTTCCAAATTAGACATGATGATGATGCTGTTCTAATCCGAGCCGAATATCAAGGGCTGCCGTCAAGGTGAATATCAGGGGCTGCCGTCAAGGTGTCAACATTGCCAAATATTTGGACATAGCACTCAAAAGTGTGTGTCTCAACAGGTGGCTAAGCTGGTCTCTATGCAGCAGACATTTGAGGAAAATGTCAATGCTCAAGACGAAGGCTGGACCACTGTCATAGCTAAGGGGAAGAGGAAGGTGGGTGAACCTGAGTTGGAAACTATCCTAGAAGTGGTGGAACTCCCAGTTCCAGGTTCTATAGTAGACCCAGTTCCAGCTCCAGCTCCTGAAATTGCTCCCACTGAGGTGGACTCATCTGATCAATCCTTTGACACTCAGGAGACTTCTACGATCAAGAGCTTATCCGGGGAGGAGCAAAGCTCTGAAAGCAGTGATGTGGATAGGTTCCAAAAGAAGGTGTTCGAGATTGCAAAGCTGGTGGTCCCCAATGCTGCTGAAATGTTGGACACTGCGATTAAAGAAGTTAAGGCTGAAAAGGCGATCCATAGTTCTGCTACCCCATCCCAGCAGGTGAAGAACAGACCCTCTGGCAAAGGCAGCAGCAGCCAGAGGAAGAAAAAGAGGTAACACAGTATCAGTTGGTTGTGGGTTTGTCTTTTTTGTGGGTTTTGTCTTTACCTCCTTTTTGTGTCCCTATGAATGTAAAAATTGCTTCATGGAATGTTAGAGGTTTGAATGATCCCTCTAAACATAAAGAAGTTAAAAAGTTTGTGCTTAAAGAGAATATTCATGTCATGGGGGTTTTGGAAACCAAAATAAAACAGTCTAAAGAGAGTAGTATCTGTGGTAAATGTTTTGATCAATGGTCTATGCTCTCTAACTCACAACCAACTGAAACTGGTAGAGTCTGGGTGTGCTGGAACAATGTTTTTTGTGATGTTCAAATGATTTCTATGTCTAATCAGCATATTTTGTGTAAAATTATTGAATTGGCTTCCAATGAAATCTTTTATGCAACTTTTGTTTATGCTGAAAATAAGCACACATTGAGAAAGGTTTTTTTTGAATCTATGCTTGATATCTCCCGTGTTAAATCCAAAGTTCCTTGTGTTTTTCTGGGTGATTTTAATGCTATTAGATACCAGCAGGAAAAAATTGGGGGGACTTCTAATTGGACGAATGATAATGAGGAATTTAATACTTATGTTAATGCTTCTGAGTTGGCTGATTTGTCTTACGGTGGTTGCCAATTCACCTGGGCTAACAATAGGAGTGAGGGGACCTATATAGCTACCAAAATTGATAGAGTTCTGGTTAATGAGGCTTGGTTGGACAAATTTCCTGAGGCTACTGCCCAGTTCCTCCCCTCTGGTATTTCTGACCACTCCCCTGCAGTGGTCAATATCAGTGCCACCAAGTGCTCTTTCAAAAAACCTTTCAAATACTTTGATTTCTGGTCTCAACATCCAGAGTTTCTGGGGACTGTTTCTAACACCTAGGGGCAGTATATTCAAGGGGTTCCTATGTCCAGGGTCTGTCAAAAACTCAGAAAGCTTAAAGCTAGTCTCAAGCTTTTGAATAAGGACTTTAGTGACATATCTACTCGTGTCCAAATTGCAAAAACTAATCTGGATCTTATTCAATATAAACTTGACAAAGACCCTTTGAATAGTGTTTTGCAAGCCCAAGAGAGAGAGGATCTGAATAAGTATATTGAGCTTAGCAAAGTTGAAGAGAGCCTTGCTCTTCAAAAATCCAGAGTGCAGTGGCTTGGTCTTGGGGATAGAAATAGCAAATTCTTCTTTAGGTCTGTGAAAAGTAATATCAATAGAGGGAAAATGCCACCAAGCAAGAGGGACGGAATAAGTGTCCGACTGTTTAAAGCCTAATGCTTGAGAAATGGCAAGTGAACACCATAATTACATATCTGCCGTCATGCAAGGGGGTCCGAATAAGTGTCCCAATATTTAAACCCTAATGCATGAGAAATTGCAAATAAACGCCATAATTACATATCTACCATCGTGCAAGAGGGTCCAAATAAGTGTCCGAGTGTTTAAACCCTAATGCATGAGAATTGGCAAGTAAACACCATAATTACATATCTGCCATCATGTAAGAGGGTCCGAATAATTGTCCGAGTGTTTAAACCAAAATACATGAGAAATGGCAAGTAAACACCATAATTATATATCTGCCATCATGTAAGAGGGTCCGAATAATTGTCCGAGTGTTTAAACCAAAATACATGAGAAATGGCAAGTAAACACCATAATTATATATCTGCCATCATGTAAGAGGGTCCGAATAATTGTCCGAGTGTTTAAACCAAAATACATGAGAAATGGCAAGTAAACACCATAATTATATATCTGCCATCATGTAAGAGGGTCTGAATAAGGGTCCGAGTGTTTAAACCCTAATGCATCAGAAATGGCAACTAAACCCCATAATTACATATCTCCCATCATGCAAAAGTGCCCGAATAGGTGTCCGAGTATTTAAACCCTAATGCTTGAGAAATGGCAAATAAGCACCATAATTACATATTTGCCGTCATGCAAGAGGGTCCGAATAAGTGTTTTAGTGTTTAAACCCAAATGTATAAGAAATGACACAGAAACACCATAATTACATATCGGCCATCATGCCAGCGTGTCCGAATAAGTGTCTGAGAGTTTAAACCCTAATACACGAGAAATGCCAAGTAAATACGATAATTACATATCTGCCATCACGCAAGACGGTCCGAATAAGTGTCCGAGTGTTCAAACCCAAATGAATGAGAAATGGCAACTAAACACCCTAATTACAAATCTGCCATCATGCAAGAGGGTCCGAATAAGTGTCCGAGTGTTTAAACCCTAATGCATGAGAAATGGAAAATAAACAACATAATTACATATCTGCCATCATGCCAGAGGGTCTGGATAAGTGTCTGAGTATTTTAACCCTAATGCACGAGAAATGGCAAGTATATACGATAATTACATATCTGCCATCATGCAAGAGGGTCCGAATAAGTGTCCGAGTGTTCAAAACCAAATGCATGAGAAATGGCAACTAAACACCCTAATTACATATCTGCCATCATGCAAGAGGGTCCGAATAAGTGTCCCAGTGTTTAAACCATAATGCATGAGAAATGGCAAATAAACACCATAATTACATATCTGCAGTCATGCAAGGGGGTCCGAATAAGTGTCCGAGTGATTATACCCTAATGCGTAAGAAATGGCAAGTAAACACCATAATTGCATATCTTCCATCATGCAAGGGGGTCCAAATACGTGTCCGAGTGTTTAAACCCTAATGCATGAGAAATGGCAAACAAACACCATAATTACATATCTGCCATCATGCAAGAGTGTTCGAATAAGTGTCCGAATGTTTAAGCCCTAATGCATGAGAAATGGCAAGCAAACAACATAATTACATATCTGCCATCATGCAAGAGGGTCCAAATAAGTGTCCGAGTGTTTAAACCCTAATGCATGAGAAATGGCAAGTAAACACCATAATTACATATCTGCCATCATGCAAGAGGGTCGGAATAAGTGTCCGAGTGTTTAAACCCTAACGTATGAGAAATGGCAGATAAACACCATAATTACATATCTGCCACCATGCAAAAGCGTCCGAATAAGTGTCTGAGTGTTTAAGCCCTAATACACAAGAAATGGCAAATAAACCCCATAATTACATATCTGCTATCATGCAAGAGAGTCTGAATAAGTGTCCGAGTATTTATACCCTAATGCAAGAGAAATGGAAAATAAACACCATAATTACATATCTGCCATCATGCAAGAGGGTCCGAATAAATGTCCGAGTGTTTAAACCCTAATGAAAGAGAAATGGCAGGTAAACACCATATTTACCTATATGTCATCATTGAAGAGGGTCGGAATAAGTGTCCGAGTGTTTATACCCTAATACATGAGAAATGGCAAGTAAACACCATAACTACATATCTGCCATCATGCAAGTGGGTCCGAAAAAGTGTCCCAGTGTTAAAACCGTAATGCATCAGAAATGGCAAATAAACACCATAATTACTTATCTGCCATCATGCAAGATGGACCGAATATGTGTCCGAGTGTTTAAACCCTAATGCATGAGAAATGGCAAGTAAACACCATAATTACATATTTGCCATCATGCAAGAGGGTACGAATAAGTGCCTGAGAATTTAAACCCTAATGCATGAGAAATGACAAATAAACACCAAAATTTCATATCTGCCATCATGGAAGAGGGTCTGAATAAGTGTCCGAGTGTTTGAACCCTAATGCATGAGAAATGGCAAGTAAACACCATAATTACATATCTGCCATCTTGCAAGAGGGTTCGAATAAGTGTCCGAGTGTTTAAACGCAAATACATGAGAAATGGTAAGTAAACACCATAATTATATATCCGCCATCATGCAAGAGGGTCCGAATAAGTGTCCCAGTGTTTAAACCATAATGCATGACAAATGGCAAATAAACAACATAATTACATATCTGCCACCATGCAAGAGGGTCCGAATAAGGGTCCGACTGATTATACCATAATGGATAAGAAATGGCAAGTAAACACCATAATTACATATCTGCCGTCATGCAAGAGGGTCCGAATAAGTGTTTTAGTGTTTAAACCCTAATGTATAAGAAATGGAAAATAAACACCATAATTACATATCGGCCATCCGAATAAGTGACCGAATTTTTAAATCCCAATGCTCGAGAAATGGCAAGAAAACACCATAATTATATATCTGCCATCATGCAAAGGGGTCCGAATAGGTGTCCATGTGTTTAAACCCTAATGCATGAGAAATTGCAAATAAGCACCATAATTACGTATCGGCCAACAGGCCAGAGGGTCCGAATAAGTGTCTGAGTGTTTAAACCCTAATGCGTGGGGAACGGAGAATTAACACCATAATTACATATCTATCATCAAGCAAGAGGGTCCGAATAATTGTCTGAGTGTTTAACCGCTAATGCATGAGAAATGGCAAATAAACAAGATAATTACATATCTGCCATCATGCCGGAGGATCCGGATAAGTGTCTGAGTGTTTAAACCCTAATGCATGACAAATGGCAAGTAAACACGATAATTACATATCTGCCATCATGGAAGAGGGTCCGAATAAGTGTCCGATTGTTTAAACCGTATTGCATCAGAAATGGCAAATAAACACCATAATTACATATCTGCCATCATGCAAGAGGGTCCGAATAAGTGTCCGAGTGTTTAAACCCTAATGCATGAGAAATGGCAAGTAAACACCATAATTACATATCTGCCATCATGAAGATGGTCCGGAATAAGTGTCCGAGTGTTTAAACCCTAATGCATAAGAAATGGCAAATAAACACCATAATTACATATCTGTCGTCATGCAAGAGGGTCTGAATAAGTGTCCGAGTGTTTAAACCCTAATGCATGAGAAATAGCAAGTAAACACCATAATTACATATCTGCCATCATGAAGATGGTCCGAATAAGTGCCCGAGTGTTTGAACCCAAATCCATGAGAAATGGAAAGTGAACACCATAATTATATATTTGCCATCATGCAAGAGGGTACGAACAAGTGTCCGAGTGTTTAAACCCTAATGCATCAGAAATGGCAACTCAACCCCATAGTTACATATCTCTCATCATGCAAAAGGGTCCGAATGAGTGTCCGAGTAATTAAACCCTAATGCATGAGAAATGGCAAATAAGCACCGTAATTACATATCTGCCGTCATGCAGGAGGGTCCGAATAAGTGTTTTAGTGTTTAAACCCTAATGCATAAGAAATGGCAAATAAACACCATAATTACATATCGGCCATCATGCCTGAGGGTCCGAATAAGTGTCTGAGTGTTTAAACCCTAATGCACGGGAAATGGAAAATAAACACCATAATTACATATCTGCAATCAAGCAAGAGGGTCCGAATAAGTGTCCGAGTGTTTAAACCCTGATGCATGAGAAATGGCAAATAAACAACATAATTACATATCTGCCATCATGCCAGAGGGTCCGGATAAGTGTCTGAGTGTTTAAACCCTAATGCACGAAAAATGGAGAGTAAATACGATAATTACATATCTGCCATCATGCAAGAGGTTCTGAATAAGTGTCCGAGTGTTCAAACCCAAATGCTTGAGAAATGGCAACTAAACACCCTAATTACATATCTGTCATCATGCAAGAGGGTCCGAATAAGTGTCCCAGTGTTTAAACCATAATGCATCAGAAATGGCAAATAAACACCATAATTACAAATCTGCCACCATGCAAGAGGGTCCAAATAAGTGTCCGAGTGTTTAAACCCTAATGCATGAGAATTGGCAAATAGACAACCTAATTACATATCTGCCATGACGCAAGAGGCTCCGAATAAGTGTCCGAGTATTTAAACCCTAATGCATGAGAAATGGCAAACAAACACCATAATTACATATCTGCCGTCATGCAAGAGGGTCCGAATAAGTGTCCAAGTGTTTAAGCC